TTTTTTTGAAAAAGCTCATCTGAAAAGTAAAACTCTTATTAAACTTGTTGATATGTCTTTTTTCCAGCAGGACACTGGAGATATAAGGTCTTAGAGAAGGAAAAACAAAGGACAGTACAGAATCTATGTGTATAAGATTATAAATACAGTACATGACATGAACGGCTAACAGAGAAAAGCTTAGTGCTCTACCTGGGTAGTGTTTCTGCAAGTGCTCCATGAGTGATTCCTGTGTTACTACCATCTGAGCTGCATTCATATCAGACACTGCACAACAGAGAACTTCAGCCAGAGGTATAAACGGAGATTGAGCTATTAGATTCATTTGCACTGGAAAGACATCACCTAAATTGGAGATAAAAAAAGGGGCACAGTTTAGAATCAGTGAATATAACAGTTGCAAAAACTGAGTAGCAGGGAGAATTGCTAATCTTTCATCAGTCTTACTCAGAATCTTACCATGACATGCACATGGAGAAAAAGTTTATGTTGTAATCGCCATTTTTTTAAAAAAATCTTTTAATTGGGAGCTCTAACCGATATTATAACAATCTATAATTCAATTAGATCAAGCATAATTGTGCAATTGCTGCTACCATCATTTTCAAAACATTTTCTTCTTGAACTCTTTAATATCAGCTCCCCTTTATATCCCCTCCCTTATGAGCAATACTTTTAAGATGTTTACAATGCCTGTCATAATTATAAATCATATATAAGACACAAAGGATTAGCACAGGTCAGGAGGACAATGTTTACATGACAGTTAACATCTTTCAAATATGGATTTTTTCATATTAGCTATCTTAAGATAAACAGAGAGAGCTTTTCCCCCCTTCCTCCTTATCCCTCTGTCTTCCCCCAGGTCCCAGTGCCACAGGGGTGGGGATGTGACTGTTCCCACACAGCGCATCCTCAAGACAAGTAGATCACTTCCCTTGGCATGAGTTTTGTTGTTGCTTTTAGGACCTAGTTTAGCCACAGTGAGTGCTCAGGTTTGCTGAATATTTTATATAGAGTATCTAGAATGAATGCTGCACTATGCTTTTAAGTGGAAGAATGGAGAGATGGATTGATGGGACAGTAATGTCAGACCATCTAACCTTACACACAGCCCATTCTCTTATGATAAAGATCATACATTATTTCCCTGGAGAAGAGCTCAGGGGCACTTAAGTCAAACCAGCTCAGAGATGACTAAGGTTAGACCTCTATCTTAGCTTTAGAGCCCGCCCATCTTGTTATGTATGTACCTTCTTGTCATATGTATGCCTCTAGCACAGCGGTTCTCAACCTGTGGGTCAAGACCCCTTTGGGGTTGGAATGACCCTTTCACAGGGGTCGCCCGATTCATAACAGTAGCAAAATTACAGCGATGAAGTAGCAACAAAAATAATTTTATGTTTGGAGGTCACCACAACATGAGGAACTGTGTTAAAGGGTCGCAGCATTAGAAAGGTGGAGAACCACGGCGTCTAGCCAGATAATTTTTTGTTGTAGGAGCCATCCATCCTGTACTGTAGGATGTTTAGTAACATCAACCTACTAAATGCCAGTAACACTTTCCTCAAAAACATCTCAGACCACAGCCCATCTAAGTGACACATCAACTAAGACGTCCACCTGGAAGAAGCACACCAGCCTGTGATCCAAGGATTGTAAATAGAATCCAAATCCAAAGGAGGAAATGGTATCAAAGTTTAAACTGTGAACATCCAGTTTGCAGAAGGATATGGATGACAGTGGAAGCCCAAGATCCATTTGCATGGTCCCCAAAATGGATTAAGCCTCTGG